CTGAGGGAAGGGAAGGAGAGTGGGTAATGACGGCGATGCACTGTACTGAATTTCTGCGTTGGTTATGGTTAATGTGCGATATATTAATGTTATGTAATATATGGATATGTATATGGATATATATATATGTGAGTGTGTGCGTTTATGTGTGTGTGTGTGTGCGTGTGCGTGTGTGTGTGCGTGTGTGTGTGTGCGTGTGCGTGTGTGCGCGCGCGCGTGTGTGTGTGTTTCTCTCTCTCTCTCTCTCTCTCTCTCTCTCTCTATATATATATATATATATATATATATATATATATATATATATACATATATATGTGTGTGTGTGTGTGTGTGTGTGTGTCTGTGTGTGTGTGTGTTTGTGTGTGTATGTGTGTGTTTACATACAGATAGATAGATAGATATACATATACATATCCTATGTCTTAAGTAAGGAGGGGGAAATAACTGTAAACTCATGATAAATATATATATATATACATACATATGTGCATGTACACACGCACGCGCGCACACACACACACACACACACACACACACACACACGCACGCACGCACACGCACACACACACACACACACACACACGCACACACACACGCGCGCGCGCACATTATTTATACATATATATATAAATGTGTGTGTGTGTGTGTATAAATTATACACATATAAATTGTGTCAGTACATTGCATAAAGCGTATACTATGCCATTTATGGGCGACGTGTAGAAAGATATATCATATACTGTTAGCAAAAAACAGGACTTTTGTTCATTTTGAGTTTTCAATTTTACTTGTGCCTATACCTCTCTCTATATCTATATTTTATCATGCCTATTGAAAGAGTATGCATTTCTCTCGCTAATATGGAGTTTGCTATGACGGTTGTGTGTTGATAAATAATTTAGAAAGGCGTTTGGTAGGGAGAGGATATGCAAATTGTGAAATGTTAAAATATACTTCTTGTTCAGAGTTTCAAATATTTCTGTAAAGTTAAGTGCTTTTATGTCGATATAACAATAACTTTTTCCATCGGTTTACCATTGATCACTTTATATTAACATATATCTGTCTATTTGAATCATATATATATAGATATCACTCCCTTTCTTTAATACTGAAAGGAAAAAGAGTGAGGCATTTTATTCAGTACAATATACAAACGCACCCATTTGACATAAGGACTATACTTAATTGCTTTAAACAATATAACTTCAAGCACAATATTATCACATGCATGGAAGTAATTACAAGAAATCGATCATAAACATAAAGTATGAATGTACTGATGTATAATGAAATAAATATGCCTATATCACATTATACAAGATCTGTTACAGAGAGGCAAAATCAGGGAGAAGGGAAAGGGGGAAGGGGTAGACAGAGAGAATCAGAGAGGGATGGAGGGGGTGGAGGGGTGGGGGAATCAAAGAGAGGGAGAAGGAGGATAAGGGAGAGGGGGGAGAGGCAGACAGACTGACAGACAGAATCAGAGAGAGGGGGGTGAAGGGGGGAGGAGGAGAAGGCAGACAAACTAGGATTAGGTGAGTCGTGTAAAAGTAGTCTTGTTTCTGTTATTGTTGTTGTTATTTTTATCTTACTTATTTTAGTCATTCGTTCCTATCGGTCTGCGATTGTACCTTTACGCAGCTTTCGTGCCCCGTGATATGACTGTATAAAACATTCATGTGTAAATATAAAACAATGCGTGCTGAATAATTATAGTACATAACTTGTTGATTTATTCATGTCGTTAACTTACTGATCAATGAGAAAGCATATTTTAAAATAGTTTGTCGACAAGCGAATTATCTTTTTTTTTTTTACTAAGGTGTTTTTGTTTTTATTCTGGTAAGTGCATGAAGGTTGTTTTTTGTACTATATAAGTTTGTGAACTTCCTTCCCTCTAAGGTCTTCTTTTGTTTTCTTGAATTAGCATATTACCGTACATTACAGAACACAACGCAATTAGACCAAATGAAAGTAAAATAAAGAAACGGAACTCAGTACAGAAAACTAACATCGTCAAAACCATCTGCTTAGCTCATTAGTCAACGTTATTTGTCTCCTTGTGCCATCTAATGAACGCTGTCAGCAATGTACGTAGGGCCATCTATTGGCAGCTGACACAACTAGAAAGGGTAGAATTTTGAAAACAAGAGTGTTCCTGCAGAAAGCGACCTTAGTTACTCTTCCTTGCCCTTCTCTCCTTGTTGAGATATGTATCTCTTTAATGTATTAGAGACTGTCGTGTATTAGCAAGGGTCATGTGGAGATATATATCAACAGGTTCCACATGGAAACGTGTTTCAACAGGTGATGTCTGACGGTCACGCCAACAGAAATAACACCAACAGGTTAGGTGAAACAGTAATGTAATTATGTAAGAATATAATATACGAAAAATAATTTAGTTTAGTTCATTTCTTTTTATAGTACATTTTTATACCCCCATTTACATGTCATATCCACTTTTTAGTGCTTAATCATCAAGGAGTTATTCACC